CTTTTTTCCCCCCCCCCCGCGGTGTGTGTGTGTGTGTGTGTGTGTGTGTGTGTCGTGGGGAGGGGGAAAGACAGGGAGGAGGGGGAGGGGGAGGGAGATGGGGAGAGATCAACCCTGAACTTTATTACTCAGGGTCCATCTACCTTGTTTAATGAGACAGGACCTGGCTTGCAAACCCCACGAATCCACCTCCCCACTGCTGGAATGATGGTTACACAGCTTCTGCAGGTGAACTGAGGTCCTTATGCTTGCATGGCAAACCCTTTACCAACTGAACTTCATCTTGCTAGCTCACAAATTGTTTGTATCACTACTATTTTGCTTAATGCTAGCAATATCAGGGCCTATGGTAAATGTGAGCTAGCCCCCACCACATGCTGGTAATAAAGACCCCTGTACCAGCAACCAGGAGAAGAGGAGTCAGGCATGAATGGAAGAACTGTCTTCAGGAAACAGGCCTTCAAATTGATGACTGGAAGCTTGTCTTTAAAGAACCAACTAATTCACTGAGGGATAAAAGCCTAGCTAATTGAAAGGGCATAAATTCTACAGGTTCTTCTATGTTACTATGAAGAGTTGGTCTATGAGCATCTTGACAGGGACAGCTGAAAAACCTGTTCCTCACAAACAGCAGATGCCAAATAAGTGCCAGCTGAATTGATGGCTCACACCTTGGAGGGGGGTGTTACCTACCTGCTCAGCCAGGATCTGCTGCTGTTGCTGCTGCTGCTGCCTCTGCTCCCGAAGGAACTGTTGCTTCTGATGCTCCATTAGCTGGGCTCGTTGATCCATTAGCATCTGCTTCATGATGGCTGCCTGTGGCTGCCCACCGAGGAAGCCAAGACCCCCAGGACTGGCTCCTGAGACCATGCTGCTTGACCCTGGGGGCACAGAGTTCTGCATGGGGCCGGTGGTCCTGGGAAGACCGACTGCATGCTGCTCCTACAGGGACCAGAAGAAAGCAATTTAGAAATTCTGCTTGGACACCTCCTGCCATTTCATAGGAAACTTCTGAGGGGAATGGCGTAGAAGTCCTAGTTTGGGATTCCACCATTCCACCTCCAGAAAACCATCTTGTAATTTTCCATAAAAACCATTGTGTTGGCCTCACCATAGTAGAACTGGAGAGGCCACAGAGGGGGGGAACAGTAACAGTAACAGAGAATGGGTCTGGGAAATGGGAAGCCAACTCATCTGTTTCTGATGGGATGGCATAGTGGCTGTGCACTGGGATTTCAATACTCTATTTCTCCAAAGAAAGGAAATATCCCCTCAGGCTGGGCTCGCCATAAGTCTCAAGGGTCCTTACCTTTCCTGATATCCAATTCCTTACTGTCTACTTTGCCAAAACAGACATCTTAGTAAACAGGAGAGACATACACAGAACACATATGCTGCTAGAATATGATCACCAACAAACCTGATGTTGGACGTTAGTTTAGCCAACCAAGACACCAGCTTTTTTTTTTTTTTTTTTTTTTTTTTTTTTTTTTTTTTTTTTGTGTGTGTGTGTGTGTGTGTGTGTGTATGCGCACACTAGTGCACTTTAAATTCTGCTAGAGTTTTGGTAGTAGGAACTGAAATGTTTTGTTTTGATCAAAGCTATATAATCCTCTTTTGTTTGTTTGTTTTTGAGAAAAGGTTTCTCTGTAACCCTGTCCTAGAACTCACTTTGTAGACCAGGCTGACCTCAAACTTAAGAGATCCACCTGCCTCTGCCCTCTGAGTGCTAGAATTAAAGGTGTGTGCCACCATGCCTGGTCAAAGTTGTAAAATCTTAAGAGAGGGTTTTCTTGGGAAGAGAAAGGGGTTCAGTTGGAGGGGGAAGGACATGAGAAGATAATGGTGAAGCAATGTGATCAAAGCATGTTTTATATATATGAGAAGGAATATATTTTTAAAAGCAATGTAATCTCCTAATCTCTTTAAAAATAGAATTGTGTCTCATGTGTCTGGGATAATTCTAGCACCGGGGACTGGATTGGGACTCTTGATTCTGTAATTATTTGCCAGAGAACTGACAACAACTTTTAGGGACTGACCCATAGGGAAGAGAGATAATGGGGTAAATAGCTAATCCCACAGAGGCCAGGGGATATCTGAAGAACGCCCTCAGAAGGGAAGGCTATGCAGCTGGACAGTGGAGGCTACCAGGGGGAAAAAGCTAACAGGCACAGTGAAAAGTTTCTACATACCGATAAGCCTCTCCACTGATGCAGCAACCCAAATCAGACCAAATCAAACCAAATTAGAAAAAGCCCACGTTTAATGGATACAATGCTCCCAGATGGCCTTCCAGTCCCCCAGTCCCCCAGAGAGGAGACAGGCCAGTTTAAATACCCTGTGGGAGTGGTCTTGAGCATCTCTGGGGGAGGGGGTCATCATTTGGTGGGCTGAAATACTGCAGAGTTTGAAGGGAGATGGGGGAGGGGGCTTGGGTGGAATTTCCACCATAACATCCCAGACTCTTTGGGTAAATGGATGCCAGGGGCTGGGGTGAAGCTTCCACTTTAACACACAGAATGTGTGTAGACACAAAACTCAATTTCTATCATTTCTATCAACACACTGGCAATGGTGAACACTGTCTGAATGCTCTGTGGAATCAGTCCTTCCAGTTCACTGGTGTCAAGCAACCAATCTGAGCACAGAGACACTCCACTTAAACGGCATATGAGGGCAGTAACAGCAGTAGCACGAGACATTCTCATGGAGCCTAATACAAAGAGTCAATGTGAGGATCTACTCTTATTTTAAGGTATAATTCAAATTGGACTTTAATATATTGTCCCTTTTAAAAGTTGCTGCTGCTTTAATATAAATGTGGTTGACCACAATGGCAACTTTCTCTTAAAATGCAGAAATAAGCTTATGTTTGCTTCTCCAGGGTCATTTTGGGGTCGAATCCCCACAATTCTGGCTTTGCAGGGCCTCCTGCTTCCTCTTTGCTGGTGCTGTTGCAGGCAGGTGGTCCGTCCTGGCCAAGTTCCATCTACACTGCGTCGCCAGACTCCCCACCTCCCTGCATCCAAACAAAATGGCATAAGCAAAACAAAGTGTATCACTTTTATTGCCCCAGAAACAGTAGCAGAGGGAGATATGATTAGTTTGTGTAGTTTGGGCTACACAAGTAACTGGATGGTCTGAAAAGATAACCAGGGTTCTGACTTTGAGTCTACCTCAGTATTCTTTCCACTCTGGCCTTCCCTCAACTATGAGTCCACAGTGCCCGGCACACATATCAGAATAGCTTGTATACTAAATATTAAATATGTTGCTTGTAAGCATACTGTTTTGTATTTTTGTGTGTGTGTGTGTGTGTGTGTGTGTGTGTGTGTGTGTAAATGCTGGGTATATACATATTCCTATGTACCAGCACCCACAGAGGTTCGAAGAGGGCATTGGATCCTCTGGAGCTGGAGTTACAGGCAGCTGTGAGCCTCCTGGTGTGGGTGCTAGGAACAAAACTCTGGCCTGAGAAGAGCAGTTTAAGTCTTGGCTGCTGAGCCATCTCTATAGTTCATGACAAATGCTTTTATTTATCCATGTGCTCTGCAGTCAGGTAGAGAGCTATGAAATATTTTTAATGTTAATAAAAAGCCTTATGCTAAAAGATGGTCTGCATGGCTTCAGAGATCTAGGTACAGGACAGAGTTCCCTTATCTTCCAGTTCTGTGGGCTACCTGTCTCTGTGTTCATCTTCCTCCAGGGTCAAGTTGTTTCTTGCCACCTTGAGAGACAAATGGCTGACCAACTTAACACTCTCACAAATGAGGTAACTCTTGAATGGAGCTGGCCAACACTCAAAAGGACAGATAATAGATTTGTTTTTTTTTTCATGTATTTCAAGTCTATTTGATATTTCCTGGTTTTGATGAGGAGAGATTTGAAGGGAAAATGAGACCCAAGGAAATTTCCTTAGCTTGTTTGTGAAAGGGCTGTTCTTGCTGGCCTTGTTTCTCTTGCTGCACTTTTGAGATTTTATTGCCCACGTGACCCCCTGTATAGTTGAGGAATGTACCCAGGAGGTGGAGGACCTGCTTTTCCAGCCTTCTCTCCCCTGGGAAAATAAGTATGGCAAATAAGGTGATGATGCTCATACAACCAGCCACATTTTGTCCCTGCAGACACAGTCAAGGGATTACCTCTGGCGTTACTTTCATTCCCCAAATGGTCCTGTCCCCAAAGTTCTTAGTGAAGATGACAAGACCCAGTGGCTAGAATGTTCCCTTCCAAACACAACATCTTTAGGGGCTTCCCAGCAAGCACACAGGTGTGTGTCTCAAAGCGTGAAAGTGCACCGTGACTGGTTTTCCAAATGAAGCTGGTACAGGCGGCTGTTTATGTCACACAGCTTCTTTTAACCTAGAATCTAAGAGGGCTTAATGAGAAAGAGCCTGTCAAATTCTAGGACTCTAAGCCCCAGCTCTTGTTTCTAAGGAGGGGACACACTGGGTTGTGCAATTAGAGAAAACCAGAGTGAGCTTTCGTCATGCGACATGTAATGCCTCAGAGCCAAATGATGCAGTATTTTTAGTTTTAATTACTGGTTTGTTCTCCACTCTCAGCCAGCCCAGCGACCTCCCTTGCTTTCCACCCAGAATCTTAATACAGTCTCTTCCCATAGCTTCCAATTTGCTATGCAGATCTTCGTGGCTCTCCAAACACTCTCACTTTTTTGCCTCTCCAGTAAAACAAGGAGAGGCAAAAAAGAGATCAAAACCAAATACACATGCACCTTCCGCTCCAGGGACAAGAGCTTAACAATTTTCTAAGGGCTAGAGTGAGGTAGGAGGGTGTAAAAAACACTGTATCCTCCCCCAAAGAGGCAGTTTCCGACTTCAAAAATCAGAGGCGATAAAAATATCTTCCGAGAACAGCCAGCTGTTTATTTATAAACCTACTTGTGGGGAAACTTGCTTTCTCTGAAGGGATTTTTTTTTTTTCACGAACATGAGGCGTTTGGATGCTAGGGGCCAGAGATGCAGCGGATAAGGAGGATGATGGATTCCTGGGAGGGACAGTATAAGACATCCTGGGTATTTGGATCCAGGAGGCCCTGGGCTTCAGCCTTTTCTACGTGGCCCCAAGAGGACCCTCTTGAACAGCTGCTGTTCTGCCGGTAGCCCAGCAGATGGTGGTGTGAGCCCAGGACCGCACTCCAGGCCTCGCGCTGAGCCCGCGCCCCCCGCCCATCGCAGATGGCTTAATCAGGGCTCGGTCCCCCGCCCCATCAGGGCCGGCGCTGCGGACGTGGAGCCAGGCAGTCAAGTGTTACTGCGTACAGCAGGTAGCCTGGCAACTGCGAGCATAATACGGAGCAGATGGTGTTCGCACGGCGTGATGGACATCACACACGACAGCCTGAGACAATCCAGGAATTCCCTGGTGGCTCAGGGCCCTCTTTGCACAAAATGAGTTCTCTCTCCATGGACCTGCCTCTTGGTGGTGGTGGCGCGCGGGGGGGGGGGGGGGGCGGGGGGGGC